CACCCAAGGCCAGGCTCTCCTGCACCCAAGGCCAGGCTCTCCTGCACACAGCACTGTCTTCCCGCAGCTCTTCACGCCCAGGACAAAGCTGGTGTGTGGGAAGGACAAGACAGAGCAGGAAAAGGGAATGCTCTGCCTGCCTGGCAGATTTCCCTGAAATGCAGTGCTCCTGCCCGGATGCTGATGCCCACACAAGCTGTGTGTTTCACAAATGGGTGCTTTCCATCTGCTTTCTCCCACTCCCTTTTCCTGGTTGTCATTGACACAGGAATGCCAGAGCGCCGTCCACACGCCTGGATGTAACTGAGACTTCTGACTTCTTGTCAAAACAGCTCCTTTTTTACTCCCCCTCCAGCAATTTTATTTGGCATTTTGTATGTTCCTAACAAGATCTGACTGAGGAAGAGAGTCTAACACTAAGGACAGAGGGAAGAGACTCCACGTGTGCCACCACTGAAGGAAGAGATCTGCAACCTTCCTTTTGCTGGCTGACCCACAGAATTAGCAGAGCCCACTTTTTTCCTCTATTTTAAGTGTAAGCTATCCCACTGAAGAAACCCTCTTTCATTCTCAGCCTGCAAAGGCCATGCAACCACTGAGCACAGACTATCACAGGAAACACTTCAGGCAAATTAAGAAATGGTTTCACTGTTCTGCAGCCAAGGAACAACAGGAGAAAATATCTGTCCAGACCTTACGTATAACCCGGCAAAGGTCAGCTGCTGTCAGCAGACTAATGCTGATTGCTACCTGCCAGTGCAGTCCTTTGGTCATCCCCTTGGCCAGTAGTGGGGTACAGCTGGAAGACAACCCCTTCTGGCCCTCAACAGAAAAGAATGGAAGCCCAGTAGAACCTCCTACAGATGTACTTGTAAAACCTATGGTGAATTAGCATCACATTGCCATTCAACTATTATAGCAATTTATAAATACATAGTATTAAAACAACTAAAATTAATTCAGTGAACCCATTTTCTGTTGGATTAAAGTGCAAACCAAGAACAGGAAGAATAAATACATTTTACTTATTTTAAAAATGTAAAAAAACCCCTCCCTTCTAAAATGCAATTCTACACTTGACAATATGCCAAGAGACATACACAGAACTTCAGATTTTCAGCAAATGTAAGCATCCTCCTGCATTTCATTTTCATGTTCTCCCAGTACATTTGCACAGTCCCAGGGAGCAGGCTGTGTTCATCTCCAACCTACAAAGCTCTGGTTTGTCCAATCACTCTGACCTTATCTGAATCTTGGCAAAATTCAACTTTTCCTTTTGAAAGTATTTCCTCTGAGAAGTTGACTGCAAGCCTCCTTCCAGGGACACAGATACAACTGAGCACAGTATCACTTTGAAAAATCTATCAAATGGGACCTTCAGTCTGCAAACTGTCCCTGGTGCCAGGATTTGGCAGACCTCTCAACTCAAACGTTGCATTGTGTTAACACAGCTGTATCCACAAGCAGAAGGCGAGGGGATTATGCAAAAGGAGGTTCTAACTTCCATCATTCTTCTGGCTGCAGAAAGGGTTTACAATCCTTTTTTATTATTATTCAAATAATGTGAGGGCTCGTTACTTTTAGAAAAGAAATAAGGCACACAGCAAAAATGTCAAGTCACTCTTTACACAGCAGTGCGTTTCTGTATTTTGTCGTTTGAATTAGAGAGTTTAAAAAAGCTGAGAAACAACAAAAATTCCCTAACCTCCTTTTCCCTCAAATGCTCATTATACTTTAGCTCTGCTACCTGAACATAACGTGTTTGTGTGAGCTGCTCCCCTGAGGAAAGCCACCAACGTGACATCAGTGACTGACAGTATTTCTGTCCCTGAGGTTAAAAAGAAATCTGACACAGACAGGCACTCTACACGTGTAGGCAGAAGGGCCAGGAACGACTCTTTCCAACCCTTTTCAGGAAGAAACACCCTCCTGAAAAACTACAAAGGAAGCACAAATACGCAACACCCAGGAGAGCTTTTCAAAAGCGGGGAGGAGGTGACAGGTGAACTGTGCTCACCAGCGTGCAGCGTGCCCCTCAGTGCATTCTGCAAAACCTGAAACGCAGCAGCACTTCCTTCCCCCCCAGGTACACACCTCCGAGGAAATCGGTACTCCTCCCACAAAGAAAAGCAAGATGCAAGGCAGCTAAAGGCAATCAGCAGAATCAAACGATGAGCAAATATTCTGAGCAGGGGAATAAGGTTCAGGTAAGTCCCAAGTGCCGACACACCCGTTTCTGTTCCCGAGTTTTTTCAGTTGCTGCATTTCTCACATCAGGCACCGTCACTCTTAAGCCTCGTTTCTTGGTCTGGGTAGAACAAGAGTAGATCTGTGCTTCCCTGCACAGGAGAGGCCAGAGTGGGCAGTGTGACCCCAAAGCCTGCACAAGTCCCTTGATCTCCTGGATCACGGACTGATTTCTGAGTTTCTGGGGCTCACCTCCCTGGGACAGGCAGAACTGAGCCAGGGCCCGACCCAGCCTTGGCTGGTGCCAGCACTGGGAATCCAGAGGCAGAAGCGATGCCTTAAAACTAAGCAAATGAGTTTGAGGAGCAAGACATATCACCTG